ATTTAACTTAGTTAAATTATTTCATTTAAAAAAATTATGTTTTTAGAAAAATTTAAAGCTCTTATTGACAAAAATAATCATAAAAAAATACATTCCTTCGACTATAATCGTGCAGGCTTCAGGCAGCAGCGCCCCCTGGTGGCCGGCTGAGCTCCGGGCAGCAGCGCCCCCTGGTGGTTGGGTGAGCACGGGCAAGCTGGGGGATTTCCTGAGCGGAAGTAGCGGAAGGGGGTTTCCAGCGTAATGAGCCCAGTCCTCCTCCCCGACAGTCCCCGACCTGGATGCTCAGTGGCGGCTTCTGTGTCAGAAAAACCCAGCGAAACATTCGGAGCCCGGAGAACTCTGCGCCGAACCGGACTATGAGGAGTCCGCCTGAAGCCTGGAGGCTCCGCGGCTGCGCCGGCGGCACGTTGTAGCGCCCTGAATCCGCCGAGAGTTGACCGAGCTGAGGGGCTGCTGAGCCGTCGAGCCGTGGCCTGTGGAGGAGACTGAATGTGAGTTCTCTCATACACACATACACACACACACTGTAGACATACACACACACAGAGAATGGTGTAACACATCAGTAAAAAAATTAAACTTAAAACAAATTAATTACAGCCACCTGGGGGTTATTTTATGTGTTTAAATAAAAAAAATAAAATATTTTGAGCAGCAGTAAAAAAAAAAAGAGCGAAGCTAAAAGATGCTAACAGTGTTAGCATTAACAGTCCGTGTGTTTACATTCGCTCCTTAATTCAAACTGATGATTAAAAATTTATTTAAACATTTCAAACAATCTGCCTTTAAAGCGTTTTCAAACCAAATGAAGCAAAATTTAAATATCGGCTTTTGTCAGGTTTTTAAACCGTATTGATATTATTGTGTCTAACTAGCTTCTTTATGCTTAATAAAAGCAGCATTAGCAGCTTTTCACGTGACGTTTTTATTAAATAAAGGAGAAATAAAGTGTCATTATGTGACTGGTTGATTTAAATAAAACAAGCTGCTCGTGCTGGAGGTGTTGCTCATCATATTCTGGTTCATCAGGTGTTTTTTCTGCGTAATTTCCCGTTTAAAGCTCTTCTATGGGGGAGTTTTAAACACTTGGTTTCACTGAATATACAAAGTGTTTATTTTAAATACAAAATCATCATTTTATACACCTCAGATAAGCTGAGAACAGCGAGTATTTATAAGCTCTGGGAAATATTTTAGGTATTTTTTCAAGAGGTAGACAATAAGTTTAGGGATGATTTAAATACAGTGTGTAATAAAATTATTATTTTTTTTACATTTCCAACAAAGTGAAGCTTCTCTTATAGCAGCAGTCAGGTCCAGGACCAGAGGAGACCAGTTCTGCTGGTTTTGTTCTGGTCTGACGGAGGACTCTACAGGTTCTGGATGGAGCAGATGATCTTAAACCTTGTCGGTGCTTTCCTGCATTGATGGAGTGTTACCAGATGGCACTAATGCACCCCCATACCATCAGAGAGGCAGGTTTTTTAGTCACACATGGCAGCAGATTATAATAATCTGCTGATCAGAATATGAACTGAAGATGGAGATTAAAAGTTGTTTGTTCAGGACTTTTATTCTGCAGTTTTTTCTCAGTCTGACCTGCTGATAATGAACCTAATTAGTGACAAATTGCTCCTCCTGGTGTTTTGATTTGTACGGTAAAAGCAGCTAAATTTCTGTCAGATTTCCAGGTACGGAGCTAAAACTTGTTCATGCTCATAGTTTTCCAGCTTTGATCAGAGATTAAACTCTTGGTGGAATAAACCTTTCCACTAGGGTTGGGCATAATCGTATCGTGTGCCATTAATCGTCAGAAAAGCATTAATCGATTATTTTTTGGCACGATGATTAATACGATTAACGCCACCAGGCAGACTACTCGGTGCTCCTCTCCGCTTCAAATATGATGAACATTAAAATAAAAGCTCTGTAGTTTATTTATCTATCAATACTATTTAAAATTTGATCTTAAGCCTGACGTCTGTGATTTTGACACAATTTGGAACAGATTTTTACGAAGAACAAATATTTCCCACTAAACTGGTCATGTGACCAGGACATAAACGTGTCCAGGGACTCCAGGGAAATAATCGTCAAATTAATCATTGACTAAATACCACAATTAATCGTGATTAATTTTTTTTGCCAATATTGCCCAACCCTACTTTCCACCTGTCTTTGACTTTAGCCTCAGTAGAGACTTTGATAACATTTTCAAACTTATTTTAGAGCTGTTCGTAAGGCTCTGCGTACAGATTCCAAAACATTTTTTTTAAATCGGACCCCCAGTTAAGGACTTAGAGATCTTTAAAGCAGAGGTGCCCAAAGTGGCCCGCCAAGCCATTTGATGTGGCCCACCAGCAGTTGTCCTGCTTAGTAGATTGAGATATCTAGATTAGATTTAAGCCCATATATAGATTTACACACCTTATAAGACTACATGAGGATACGTTGAATTTTATCCATGTCCATGGGCTGAAAAGAAAAAAAATGTGGGCAACCACACTGGCTGCTAGCTTAATCATAAAAAATAAAACAACTTTACTTTGCATTCCATATATTATTGCGTTTGGCCCGTGCCCCGCAGATTGATTTAAATTTTAGCCCTTTCAGGGAAAATATTTTTTAATTTTGACCCTCTCAGCAAAAATGTTTGGGCACCCCTGCTTTAAAGGCTGAAAATTAGGAAGCAAGTGCTCCATTGACTTCCATTATAACATAAAAAGGGGCGGAGCTCCGTAGACACGGTGAGCGTCGCAATTTCGCAACGATTTTTCAAACCAAAGCAGAAAACAAATGAGATAAAATCTTGAGATATATTTTGAAATGCTAAGCGGAGTGTAAGCACGAAAACGAGCAACAAAAAAAAATCACAAAAAGCCACGCACTGCCGGGATCGGACAGCACATTTATCAAAGTCCTAAATGAATTTATTTAATTAGCGAAATTAAGACTTTTACTTGAAATAATGTAAATAATGGCTCAGAGTCGTGCAGGTCCAGAGGAGATGTTTGTACACTCACGGTTTTTTACGGGGTCCGACACGCGGCGGCGTCATGGCCGACAGGTTCAGCTGATATTTAAACAGAAACTCAGCAGATGAAAACAGAAACACAGATGTCTCATAAAGACCCGGATTATGACCCGTTAAAAAAAAACAACAACATTTAAAGTTCATGAGCAATTGATGTACGTGAGGCGGGACAGTTCTGGTTCTGGTTCTGGAGCCACGGCTGCAGCAGTTAAATCTTGTAAAAGCCGAATGTTGTGTTTCTTTTGTGGCTCGTTGGGAGTACTGTACCAGCTGTTGTGGGTTTTCGGAAAACCCCTTTGATTTTTCCAGTTTCTCTTTCTGAAAATAGTGCTTAGTCGTGATTTCAGTCACCTGTTTTCTTTGAAGTGACAAACCCAAACTCACAGATTATTGTAATCTGTGAATTCTGACAACTGTGAGATGATTTCATTTGAAAAAATCTATTTTTAAACAGGTTTTTACTGGTTAATCTGAAGTTTTCTCTTCACAGACAATTATAACTGTACATAATTTTATTTGTTAATTATTATAAGTTTTATTAAAACTTATAATAATAAGTTTGGTTACATTTTGACAACGTTTGTTTGTGTCAGAGAGAGAATTCTGAATGAGTGTGTTTGTGTCAATAACGCAGTGAATGGAAAAGCCCCTAGCTTCCCCACAGTTCAGCCCTGACAGGAAGTGAGGTGTGTGTGTGTGTGTGTGTGTGTGTGTGTGTGTGTGTGTGTGTGTGTGTGTGTGTGNGTGTGTGTGTGTGTGTGTGTGTGTGTGTGTGTGTGTGTGTGTGTGTGTGTGTGTGTGTGTTGTGTTTTATTAGTGAGCAGAGTGGTCATGGGATCTAACGTCACTAATATTTCCTAATTTTCTCATCAGTAATTTGTTCAATATTTCCTAAAATCTTTATTTATTTATATTTAATGTTTTGTTGGTTTATTTTTTTTTATTTTTTCACTTTTTGTGGAAAATTTGCCAAAACTAAAATCTACACAAAGAGCTGGCTTTGAGGAAAGCACATCTGCCGCCAGCTGTCATAGCAGAATTATAAAGAAAGATCAGGCTGTGTGGAGAAATGACATTTACAAACTTTTTGTCGAATATTTAACGTTACCAAGTCATAATTAGCTTGAAAATGTCTTAAATCAATCTTTCAGAAGTCTTAAAATGTGAACACATTGTAAGTAGGATGATTGTAATTCATCTCAAATATTAAAATAATTGGTAAAAAATTATTTATTTTAACATTCGCTTGCTGACATCCCCCCTTTGACATCACTTCCTGTTGTTTCACATGTAAATATCTCAACAACTGTTAGTCTGAGCAATGTGAAATTTGTTTTCTAATATATTAATAATGTTGTATTAATTCATTCATATTTCTTACAAACCTTTAACGTCACAGACACTTTAAGGTTTCATCTACAGTAAGCTGGGGTTGAGACCCCACTGTGGGTCCTAAAACTCCAAATTTTGGGTTGTTAGAGGATTTCCAGGAATTAATTTAAATTTAAAACTGACTGCTAAGAATGTTTCTGCTGTAGCTGATGAAAAAGCAGTTCGATATGGATAAAAACTATTGGTCTATTATTAGCAATATTTGAATACTTCAACCAAAAATACTTTGATTCATGAGTTTCTGACAGTTTTAATTTTTTTGTCATTTGTGTTTATTACGAAATTGGTCTTAAAAGGATCCATGATTAGTTGTAACATTAGACTTTATTTGATAAACATTTATTTTAACTGTAAAATAAAGACTGCAAAAACAATGTAGTTTGTTTAATTTTTAAAACCTCTGCTTTAGATCAACGCTGTCGTAAAAAGAAATCTGAGTTTCCAACAGTTTTGTTTGTTTTTTTTCTCTCCGAAGCCTCCTCGGGTCATGTCCTCCGGGAGGATTTCTGATGGGAGGGAAGTGCAGATCCCCCTCCAGCAGGTGGCGCCGTCCCTGGTCTCACCGCTCTCCTGCAGCCCCACCTTCACGCCGCCCTCCTTCCGCACGGCCAGTCACTGGCCTCTGTGTGAACTCCCCCCTCCACAAGGTACAAGCTCCTTCAAAGTTCCCATGGAGGTGTGGCCTCTCCACATCTGTCAGGTTGATTGACAGGTCTCCATGTCCAGGTGTTCCCGCTGGCTTCCTGCCTCTTCTCGGAGGATTCAGAGATCACTTCGTTGAAACGCCAGAAGCCAAATATCGCTGTTTGGACTGCGGGCTGGTCCTGTGTCACCCTCGTCAGACTGAGTGTGGACACCGCTTCTGTCAGAGCTGCATCAACAAGATCCTCAGGTGAGGCTGGTGCAGGTAGCTGCAGCCCCGCCCCACCCGATCCATCATCATCAACCTAACTTCCTGTTCTGTCTCCTGCAGTGGTCCAAACCCCACATGTCCAACCGACAAGGAGCCGTTGTTCAAAGACAAGGTGAGCAGAGAGGACGGGCACAGCTCCGCCCCCACAGGCACAGCTCCACCCCCCAGATCCTGGATCAGTTTTTAAACGTCTGCCCTTCGGTTTCAGATCTTTAAGGATGTCTGTTGTCACCGTGAGATCATGGCACTGAAGGTTTTCTGTCGGAGCGAAGCCAACGGCTGCCAGGAGCAGATGAGTCTGCAGCAGATCCCCGTGAGCAGAACCGTTCGAGTCCGGTCCCAGCTGGGTTGGGTTCTGTGTAAACTCACCACCTGTCTTTCCTCAGGACCACCTGAACGTCTGTCCCTTCTACGAGGTGCCCTGTCCGTTGGGTAAATGCAAGGAGAGGATGATGAGGAAGGAGATTCCCGACCACCTGACCTGGAAATGTAAACACAGAGAGACCAGCTGTGAGTTCTGCATGGCCAAGATGCCTCTGACCGAGCTGCAGGTAAGAGACCCGCTCAGGTGTGGCGGTCCAGACCAGAACCAAGATTCTGACAGGAACACAGAGTTGAAGACATTTTGTGTTTGTGAATTAGCTGTGGCGGCCGTTTGGAACCGTGTCAACTCTAAAACATTCATCACTTCTTTCGAATCTGTCCAATGATCCATGAAATATTTTGCTAACACACAAAGTTTGGCCTTTCAGAGGAGAACAAATCAAAACCAGATAGTTGTTGTTTAAAGCAACACAAACTGATCCTAAAGTGAACCAGTTGTCCATAAAGTTAAACCAAACCATTTTAAACATGCTATAAATCAGATTTTTATTAGCATTTCTGATAAAACCTAAAATTAAAGAGCTCGTTTATTTTCTCTGTACAACATTAGCTGTGACCATCACATCATGACAGAATGAGCTCAGCACGTCTTCAGATCCTGGATCACCAGGAGTTCTTTGATCTGATTCCTGATCAGGACTCGTCTCTGAATCCTGTTTCTAGATTATTCTCATTTTTTAGCTCATTCCTCAAACTATGTTTGGATAACTTTGTACAAGTTTCTGTAACAACAATAAAGACTACTCTTTTCTATTTTGTTCTGTTTTATTCTACTCTGCTCTGTTCTATGTTGTTCTGTTTTATTCTATTCTACTCTACTCTGTTCTTTGTTCTGTTTTACTCTACTCTACTCTACTCTGTTCTATGTTGTTCTGTTTTATTCTATTCTACTCTATTCTGTTCTATTCTATTCTATATTAAAGTTTATGAGCAGGAAAGAAAACACTTAGCTAACTCACAGGGAAAACAACAAAAAAATATTTTTTTCTGCCTGAAATTGTCTCTTTTTGTAGCTGTTTTTTCAAAAAGTGTTTACTAAAGTCAGTCAGATTATATTTCAAACATTTAAAGGATCTATAGGTGAGGTATGTTTTCATTATATTTTGACAAGATAAGAGTTTAATCCTCGGTTTGATGTGACATTTATGATGCAAATGAGTTGTTTTAAAACTTGTCTCAAACCTGGTGATCCAGGTCGGCCTACAGGCCAACAGCTGTGACCTGATTCATGTGGAAATCAAAAATAACGTTCAGACAAACTTTGACATACATTGTAAAAATATCCATCTAAGCAGGTTTTACAGATACTGAACCAGAGCAGAATGTGTTTGTTTCATCAGGTGAAACTGTCCAGATTATTTCACTTCATTAGATTTATTTTTAGATGAATTTGTCAAGTGTAAAATGTTATTTTTTTATTATCTGTCTGTGGATCAGTAAAACTGACACTACAGTCCTGTATGGACGCTTATATTCAGGATTCTATTTACTCCTGTTGACAAAGTAAAACACATCATAAAGTTTTTCTTTGTTTTTTTTTTTTTTCACGACTGAAACAGTTTTTTTTATTTTTAGAAACACAAAGAGACTGTGTGTCCAGCCTTCCCCGTGTCATGTCCCAACCACTGCACCTTCTCCTCCCTGCCCCGAAGTGAGGTACTCACCCCCCCCCCCCCTCCTGTCCACGTACTGTGTATTTATATTTCTGTCTCATTTTGTATTAAAACACAAACTTACTCTTGTTTTTTTTTTTTGGTTTCAGCTTTCCAGCCACCAACACGACTGCCCCAAAGCCCAGGTCAGCTGTGTGTTCCAACGCTACGGCTGCACATTCAAGGTCTCTCTTCATCATCATCTTCATCATCATCGTCGTCACTTCCTGTTCCTCTCTGGTGCTGAGCTCCTGTGTACTTGTCCTGTATTTACTCTGGACTTTGTGTACTTTTTAGGCTTTAAACCAAGACATGAGACAACACGACTCCACCTTTGCAGCCGAGCACCTGAGGATGATGGTGACCAGGAACTGCCTGCTGGAAAACAAGGTATTGGTGGAAACCTGTGCAGAGGTGAGGGCGTGGACAGGTGTGCAGAGGTTTTCAGGGATGGTTTCTGTGTCCGCAGGTGGAGGACGTGAAGGAGGAGCTGGTGGAGCGGTACAAGGTTCTTCCCGCTCTGAGCAGCCGCCTGTCGGAGCTCGAGAACCAGAACAACGAGCTCCGAGACAAGAACCGGCAGACGGAGCAGAAGCTGGTCACCATGCAGGTACGGAATGAGGGGCGGAGTTAACGAGGGTTAAATGTGAAAAATAAACTGCTTCTGCAAGAACGCAGCCCTGAAATCAGCTGAAGAAGCTCCAGATAAAAGAAGCCGAACAAAACAAAATTTAGCTTAAGCTAAATTTAAAGCTAAATGTAGAAAAAACTGACGCTAACAACTGAAATTAGCAGTACTAGTTAAAGCTAAATCTATCAAACCTGAACACTTAAAATGCTAAATTAAAGCAAAGCTTAGTGGAATAAGCTAACCTGTAGCTAATAACTAACAAGAGCAAAACAGTGACTCGATGTTAAAATGGGCAAACCCGAAGCTAAAAGCTCAAACTGTAAGAACTGAGTCTACAAACTAAAATGCTAAAACGAGTTAAATGGAAGCTACAATAAAAACAACAGATAAAATGAGCAAAACTGCAACTAAAACCTAAAATTTGCTACACTAGCTTAAAGCTAATTTTAGCAAACCCATAGTTAAAATAAAAATTATGCAAAAAAGAAAAAAGCAATATCTAAAACTAAAATTGTCAAACCCAAAGCTAAAAAATCTAAAATTTGTAAAACTTAAGCTATGTGCTAAAATTAGCAAAACAAACTAAAAGCAAAAATTTGCTAAATTGAAGCTAAAGACTTGGGCCCTGATTACACGAGACCGCTCTCTGAAAATGTTCATATTTACTGGGGTGAATACACAAAAAAAAAAATCACTTGTTTACAGGGAACCGCTGCAGGGTTGCCAAATGGGACATAGTAAAGTGTTTTATTGTTCCTTAAAAATCATCATATTTTGAGTCAAAACAGCAGATCTGCTGTATTTATGTGACTCAGTCAATCATAATCTGATTGAGAGTGTTGTAACATGAGGTGTGTGTTGTTTGGTGAAAATATGCATTAAAAAAATGTTAATTTTCTTATCTGGCAACCCTGAAACCGGTCTCATTCATGCTCTGATCACGCAGCAGCTTCATGGTCACAGTTACGTCTGAACCTGGGGAATAAACTAAAGTTTGTTTGGACCTATGATTATTTTAATCTTTTTTCCTACAAATGGCGAGCAACAGAAAAACCTTTCTGCCGTCTGTAATTTATTATAACTTGTTAGCTTAGGAAACCCTTGCTGTGCGCTGCCTGTTTGAGCACAGCTGCGGGGGGCTTCTCACCTCTGCTGGGGGTGTTACTGAAAAGTTCCACTCCTCAGACCTGGTTTCAAAAAGTGCCGCAGTCAGAAGCCGAGTTTCCATCAAGGTCTTTTACGCACATTTTGAAGTCTGGCATTTAGAACAGGCTCTAGATTAGCATCAAAGCTAAACGCTGAACTTGGCAAAACTATAGCCAACATGAATAATTAGCCAAGTCATAGCTACAAGCTACAGATCAAATTAGCAGAACTGTGACTAAAACAATTAAATAACATGGCTACCTGTAGCTAAACGCTGATCAAAACCAAAGCTAAGTAAATTCAGCAAAACATTAGCTAAAATTAGAAAACTTCTAGCTAAAAACTTGAAGCCAAAAATCAAAGCTAAAAAGTAGGATTTGCTACATCATAGCTAAAGGCTAAAATCAGCAACACTCTGGCTAAAAGCTAGAAGTAACAACACAGTAGCTAAAAGCTAAAAGTAGCATTAGAGTAAAAATCAGAGCCAGTATGTGAAGCAGATTTTAAAGAGGGGCTTCGATGGGGAAAATAATTGTGAATGAATGAATGAATGAATGAATGAATAAATAAATAAATAAATAAATAAATAAATAAAGCCAGCAGCTGTCTGCAGAATGAGCTGAACATGTTGATGAACAGCTACTGTAAGAGTCAGAATGCTGAGTCAGCGTTCAGGCTGTGTGAACGTGTCTGAGTGCTGACGGGTTCTGCTGGGTTCAGAACCTTTCTGGGTCAGCATCCTGGTGTAAACTCAGGTTCTGCTGGGCTCAGGACCTTTCTGGGTCAGCGTCCTGGTGTAAACCCGGTCCTGTCCTCGGTGTTTCCACAGAAGCTGATGAGCTCGCACTCAGAGAAGCTGCTGGAGCTGGAGCTGGAGCTGCGTTCTCTCCGCGCGCTGCGAGACGAGGTGGAGAGCCTGCGGGGCGCGCTGGACGGTGTCCGGACCAGACTGGGCACTCTGGAGCAGGGGGGGCGCTGTGGAACCGGGTCCACTCACACTCTGGGTCAGTTCACGCCCCGGGGGTGTCTGAGAGTCGCGGTCCCGGATCGGCCATCTAACCCATGATTGTCTCGGTTGTTTGCAGCCACCCTGGAGACCCAGGTGGGCCGACACGACAACATGCTGAGCGTCCACGAGATCCGCTTGGCCGACATGGACTTACGCTTCCAGGTTCTGGAGACGGCCAGCTACAACGGGACTCTGATCTGGAAGATCCGGGACTACAAGAGGCGGAAACAGGAGGCGGTGGCAGGAAAGACCCTGTCCCTGTACTCGCAGCCGTTTTACACCGGCTACTTCGGGTACAAGATGTGCGCTCGGGTCTATCTGAACGGAGACGGGATGGGGAAGGGCTCGCACCTGTCTCTGTTCTTTGTGGTGATGAGAGGCGAGTACGACGCCCTGCTGCCCTGGCCTTTCAAACAGAAGGTACAGATGGTTGTAATGAGAGCGCAGCCGGCCGGGACCACACCTGTCTCTAACCCTGAACCGCTCCGTCTGCCAGGTGACTCTGATGCTGATGGACCAGGGTCCTTCCAGGAAACACCTCGGGGACGCCTTCAAGCCCGACCCGAACAGCAGCAGCTTCAGGCGCCCCGCTGCCGAGATGAACATCGCCTCCGGCTGTCCTCTGTTCGTGTCTCAGAATCTCCTGGAGACGGGCAGCTACATCAAAGACGACACCATCTTCATCAAGGTGGGGGTCCGTCCTCCAGGACCAGGGTCTGAACCTTTGAGAGACATTTCTATATTGTCTCTAAATAAAAGGATTTGGTTCCTGTTTTCACTGAGCTCTGCATTAGTGTTAGCTCAGCATTAGTGTTAGCTCAGCATTAGTTAGCTTTACTTTAGTGTTAGCTCGGTATTAGTTAGCTCTACTTTAGTGTTAGCTCAGCATTAGTGTTAGCTCTGCATTAGCGTTAGCTCTACTTTAGTGTTAGCTCAGCATTAGTTAGCTCTACTTTAGTGTTAGCTCAGCATTAGTTAGCTCTACTTTAGTGTTAGCTCAGCATTAGTTAGCTCTACTTTAGTGTTAGCTCAGCATTAGTT